CTCTCCCCCCCTCTCTCCCCCTCTCCCCTCTCCCCCCCTCCCTCCCTTTCTCTCTCCCCCCCTCTCCCCTCTCTCTCTCCCCCCTCTCCCCCTCTCCCGTCCCCCCCTCCCCCTCCTCTCTCTCTCCCTCTCTCTCTCCCCCCCCTCTCTCTCTCCCCCTCTCCCCCCCCTCTCTCCCTTTCTCTCTCCTCCCCCCCCTCTTCTCCCCCCCCTCTCCCCCTCTCCCGTCCCCCCTCTCCCCCTCCTCTCTCTCTCCCTCTCTCTCTCTCCCCCCCCCTCTCTCTCCCCCCTCTCCCCCTCTCCCGTCCCCCCTCCCCCTCTCCCTGACTTTTATTGCAGGATATCTTGCAGTTACGTTTACAAATGAAAGTTTGGTCCCCAGACCCGCGTCCGGATAGTTATTAGATATTTTTTATTTAAAAAAAACATTTTCGGGATTACTTACAAACCGTGTGGTTCAGCAGCTGCTGAGGATCCCCTCGACATTATCTTCATTATTTTGGCCACTGAAGGTTTATGCAGTATTTGTAACTTTTTTGCTAACTGCGCGGTCCTGGTGCGGCTGTGAATAAATTCGCGTTTCTTCCTGAAACGTTTCATTTCATTTTTGACTTTGATATCTGATCTCAGGACCAGATCAGGATCAGTTGGGTATAAGTTGTTACGTTATTTTTTTAAAAATCGTTAAAAGTCTGTCCTTTATGCGATTAGGTTACCAGTTGTCAAGGCTCCCCGAGCGCATGACCTATCCTCACTTGTGTGGCGTAAAAGGTTATGAAGACATCTGCAAATGCCACGTAAAAGACCAACCCCCTGCCCCCCGCCCCAACCCCCTGCCCCCCCCGCCCCCCCCCCCCCCCCCTTTTCCCCCCCCCCCCCCCCCCCCCCCCAACCCCCTGCCCCCCGCCCCCAACCCCTGCCCCCCGCCCCCAACCCCCTGCCACCCGCCCTGCCCCAACACCTGCCCCCCGCCCCCAACCCCTGCCCCCCGCCCCCAACACCCTGCCACCCGCCCCCAACCCCCTGCCCCCGCCCCCACCCCCTGCCACCCGCCCCCAACCCCCTGCCCCATGCCCCCAAACCCCTGCCCCCCGCCCCGCCCCAACACCCTGCCCCCCGCCCCGCCCCAAACCCCTGCCCCCCGCCCCGCCCCAACACCCTGCCCCCCGCCCCGCCCCAACCCCCTGCCACCCGCCCCGCCCCAACCCCCTACCCCCGCCCCCAACCCCCTGCCACCCGCCCCAACACTCTGCCCCCCGCCCCCAACCCCCTGCCACCCACCGCGCCCCAACCCCCTGCCACCCGCCCAGACCCGCCCAACGCCCCGCCCCAACCCCCTGCCCCCCGCCCCCAACCCCCTGCCACCCACCCCCAACCCCCTGCCCCCCGCCCCCAAACCCCTGCCCCCCGCCCCGCCCCAACCCCTGCCACCCGCCCAGACCCGCCCAATGCCCCGCCCCAACCCCCTGCCCCCCGCCCAGCCCTCCGCCCAGCCCCTTGCCCCAACATCCTGCCCCCCGCCCAGCCCCCCGCCCAGCCACTTGCCCCAACACCCTGCCCCCGCCCAACAACCTGCCCCCGCCCAACCCCCTGCCCCCGCCCAGCCCCGCCGAGCACCCCGCCCCAACCCCCTGCCCCACGCCCAGCCCACCGCCCAGCCCCTGCCCCAACCCCCTGCCCCCCGCCCAGACCCGACCCCCGCCCCAACCCCGACCCCCGCCCCAACCCACTGCCCCCCGCCCAGCCCCCGCCCAGCCCCTTGCCCAACACCCTGCCCCCGCCCAGCCCCCGCCCAGCCCCTTGCCCAACCCCCTGCCCCCCGCCCAGCCCAGCCCGCCGAGCACCCCGCCCCAACCCCCTGCCCCACGCCCAGCCCACCGCCCAGCCCTGACCAAATCAACCCCCAGACCAGCCCAACCCCCAGCCCTGCCCAGCCCCCAGCCCTGCCCAACCCCTAGCCCAACCCCCTGCCCAGCACAACCCCAGTCCTGCCAACCCCCAGCCCAGCCCAATACCCAGCCCAAACCCTTGCCCTGCCCAGCCCAGCCCCCTGCCCTGCCCAGCTCAACTTAATGCCCTGCCCATCCCAACCCTGACAAAACCAAGCCCCAGCCCTGCCAAATCAACCCGCAGCCCAACCCCCTGCCCAGCCCAAATCCTGCCCAGCCCAACCCCCAGCCCTGCCCAACCGCCAGCCCTGACCAAACCAAACCCCAGCCCTGCCCAACCCCCAGCTCTGTCCAGCCCAACCCCCAGCCCTGACCAAATCAACCCCCAGACCAGCCCAAACCCCAGCCCTGCCCAGCCCAACCCCCAGCCCTGCCCAGCCCAACCCCCAGCCCAGCACCCAGCCCTTCCCAGCCTCAGAGCAACACCAAGCCCTAACCAGCCCCAGCCCACCCTAACTCCCAGCCCTGCCCAGCCTCAGCCCACCCTAACCCCCTGCCCAGCCAAACACCAAGCCCAACACCAAGCCCTGCCCAGCCTCCAGCCCAGCCCAACACCCAGCCCTGCCCAACCCCCAGCCCTGTCCAGCTCAACCCCCAGCCCTAACTACTAGCCCAGCCCAACCACCAAGCCCGCCCAGCACCCAGCCCAATGCCCAGCCCAATGCTCAGCATAGCCCACTTAGCGCCCAGCCCAACCCCATCCCAGGGCCCAGCCCAATATGCAGTTCCCAACCCAGTCCGCAGCCCAACCTCCAGCAGCGCCCAGCCCACCCCCCAGCCAAGCCGAACGACCAAGCCAGCCCACAAGCCAGCCTAGCACCCAGCCCAACCCTCAGCTAACTGCTCAGCACCCAGCCCAACCCCCAGCCAAGTCCAACTCAACCCACAGTCCAGTGCTCAGCCCAACCCCCAGCCAAGCCCAGTGGACAACCCAGCCCCCAGCCCAACACCCAGCCCAGCGCCACCCAACCTCCAGCACAGCGCAGCCCCAGCCCAACCCAACCCCTAGCCCAGCCCAAACCCCAGCCAGCCCAGCACCCAGCCCAACCCCCAGCTCCAACCACCAGTCTAGCCCAATATCCAGTTCTGCCCAGCGCTTCTTCCAGCCCAGCCTGATGCCAAGCAGAGCCCATTGACCAGCCCAATGCCCAGCCCCCCAGCGCAGTCTTGCCTAGCCCATTCCCCAGCTCAGCCCAACCCCCAGCCCAGCCTCAACCTCCAGCCCCCAGCCCAGTACCCAGCCCAACCCGCAGCCAATCCTCAGCCAACCCTCAGCCCAACGCCCAACCCAGCCCGTCCACCAGCCTAGCCCAGCACAGCCCAGCCCAATCTCACACCAGCCCACAGCCCAAACCCCAGCCCAGCCTAGCCCAGCACAGCCCAACCCCCAGCCCAGCTCCAACCGCCAGCCCAGCCCAGTCCAGCCCAACATCCAGCCCAGTCCAGCCTAACACCCAGCCCTGCCCAATACCCAACCCAATGCCCAGCCTGCCCCCAGCCCCCAGCCAAACCCCCAGCTTTCCCAGCCCAGTGCCAAGCCCAGTGCCCAGCCCTGCACAACCCAGCCCCCAGCCCAGCACCAGCCCATCCTGCCCAGCCCAGAACTCAGAGCTGCCTAGCCCAAACCCCAGCCTAACCCCCAGCCCTATCCAGCCCAGCCCAATACCCAGTCCAGCCCAATACTCAGCCCAACCCCCAGCTTTCACAGCCCTGCATCTAGCCTAGTCCAATCTCCAGCCCAGGCCCCAGCCCAGCCCAACCCCCAGCTCAGCCCAACCTCCAGCCCAACCACCAGCCCCAGCCCAGTCCCCAGCCCTATGCCCAGCCCAGCCCAACCCAGCCCTGTTGTAGAGTGGATCAATTTCAAAATCCTCACTCTCACTTTCAAATCTCTCCACGCCCTGGCACCTCCCAACTCTCCAATCTGCTTACACCGCCTTTGCCCAGCTGGCTCAGGTCTCATGCATGCCCTTTGTCCCCTCCGCTCCATAATTGGCAGCCGTGCTTTCAGTCACTCTGCCTCGCATCTCTGGAAGTGCTTGTCTCAATTCCTCAGTCTTACCTCTTCTTTTCCCATCTTCAAATCAGACCTCTTCAACCGTGCCATCGGTCTTCTCCCGTCCCTTTCTGATTTGATGTCAAGCTATGCTGTTGTTAAATGCTTCAAGATTATCCTTATTTGAAGGGCGCTGTATAAATGCAATTTGTTGTTATTGTTGAGGCTGAGACCATAATACTTAAAAGGCAATTGTTTAACATTTGAAGAAGAATTTAAATGAGTTTTAGCTCCAGTGGATTACCTAGCAGTTGCTTAGAAACAATGAATCCTTCTACACACTGTAATTTACATTAAAAAAAACTGCATGGTGTCCGAATATATAGAATTATGCAGAATTGGATAGATAATACAGCCTGAAAAGTGGTCATTCACCCTAACTGGTCTGTACTGCTGTTTGTGGGAACTCTCTTCAGTGTGGCGGGCTTAATACTAGAGGTGCATGCTGGTCAATTTTTTGCTGTGTGCTGGTTTGGTAGAGATCATTTCATTTTCCCCTATAAAACACATGATCATTACACTTTACAGTATCCTCTGACATGTTTTGAGATGTTCTGATGTGAAAGGCGCTGTGTCCAGTGTGAGGATTATTATATTTTAAAGATTGTTTTCAGTTTAAAAATAAAATCACAGTTGGGTGACTCCACTGAG